TCCATAACAAGAGCATTACAAGCCTTTAAATAGGCCAAATGGTCGTTCAACATAAGAACACCAAAAGTTTTTCAAAATACTACTTAATGCAAATTGTAGAAAATAAGACATGCAAATTAAAACTTGATTGCACATCATTCTAGACATTTAAATGCGGATCAGAAAACGTAGTCATGCTTCAAATGGTCTTATCTATGTGCTGTAGGAGGCGCTTCACATTTGGATATGGTTTGACAACTTTTGACTTCACAAACTCCAAAGAGGTGCAATCTGCAAAGGCACCTGTTCACGAATCTGCACACTTTTTTTGTCCTCCGTGCCATCTCTCAAAATAGACAACTTTTCCCGTGCCATCTTTGCTCCATTCTCTTCTTGACTCGTTGAAGTAACATTATGAATAAATTCGGGCTCAAAACTCTTTGTTGGTTCTTGTGCATTAACAAGCTTTTGAAGGTGCAGTGTGAAAGCCTCTTGAATCTTCCTTGCCTTTCTTGTAATAATTGCTCCTTTGATATATGTAATTGGTCACAAATGGATTCGTATCAGGCGGGGGCGTTCGCCAGCAGCCGTGAGGGAAATTAGCGGCGGAGATCAGGAAATAGACGAGACAGGAGGTTCGGTTCCGCTCAGGGAGGAGGAAGTCTTTAGATTTTTTTTTAATAAATAAATGACATGTCAATTAAAATAAATGCCACAAAAAAATGACTCATAATACTCAAACGTCCCTATCAACATTTCGTTGGTGACGTTAACGAAAGTTCGAGTCTAGGACCTTTCGAGGTCAGCTAAACTGTTTGCTTTTTACTTCTTTTTTTTTTTAGAAACAAAACATTTGTTGGAGCTCGAAATTGCTGAGCTCGGATAAGCCTTAGATCGGACTGTTCAAGGTGAACTATGGCCGACGGTCCAACACCCTCCCAGATCACTCCTGAGACCTGCAAAACAAAGTTAGTACTCCGACGAGCAAGTCAGTTCTGGTCCGAGCTAACTTGTCGAGTCTATCTAGGATTGCGTACCTTGCATTTAAGGCGAAGGTTTCTATTTATAGAAACTGGGCTCGACAGGAACTCTGACACACCCTAAAAATACGGCATGTTGTCGGGTTCGGAAGAAACATGTTTACGGACTCTGTTTAAGGTCGGCTCGTCCTTTTAGCTCAGTCCATGACTGCCGACCTAAACAACCTTAGGAAAAATTCTAATTTCATCCACATGTCAATTTGGCTTACCTCTCTGATCATGACACGTGGTAGGTCTAAATTTGCCTCTAACACTAGCCCCCACTTTTGCGTGGCGTAGGTCTGCTCGGCGAAGTAGTTCGAGCTAAGCGAAGGTGGCCGAATCCACGTGTCTGTGGGTGACGTCACTGATGTTGTCAGTCTTAGTTCCTGCCTCGAGAACTCAAACGTCGCCATGGAGACCGTCTGGCGTGGACAAATCTTGCCCGTTGATTCTTCCTCGATCGGACGGCCCTTGTGCTTCCAAGCTGTCCTATAAAAGGCGAAAGTTTTTCATTTTTCACTTTTCACTTTTCACTTTCAAGTTTTCGTGTACCTCGGCCGTTTCCAAGTCAGGTACTCTCTCATTCTTTCTTTAGGTAGCTCTCTAAATTCCTTCTTTCTTTAGGTGGCTCTCTAGATTCCTTCTTTAGGTCTGACGATGAATAGCTCGTCCAGTAAGTCGCCATCCGGGTTGTCTAGTTCGTCTAGCACAAATAATACCATAGAGGACCCCAATCTAGTTTCTACCTCGGGAAACCTAAATCCTGATCCGATAGTCGAGCTCCCTCCCTTGACTTGCTAGGTAGGTAGATTAGCCGAGCTCCACAAAACCTACTCGATTCCCAACTCCATAGAGCTTAGGGTGCCCAACGTCGGTGAGTCTCTTGACGACCTTCCTCCGGGCTTCGTCAGCTTCTACCCCCAGATGTTTAGTAGGGGGGTTAGGCTTCTACTTCACCCTTTCATACAGAGGTTCCTTAGCGCAGTCAACCTCACCCCCGCTCAGCTATCCCCTAACGGTTGGTCTTCCATGCTCGGAGCCTACATTTTGTGGTGGGTCCTTCGAGATGAGGATGATGACAGGCTCACGGTAGATCAGCTCTTAGCGACCCACACCGTCAAAGCCTCCAACGAGGGAGAGGGTCGGTACTACCTCTCAGCTTGGTGGAACGTAGGTCAGCTGATTAGGAATCCCTCCTCTAACAAAAATTGGAAGGAGTGTTGGTTCCTC